GAGAGAGAGAGAAGGAGAATGACAAAGCAAGCCGCCAGATCCGGGACTTGAACTATGGTCGGCCACATGGGTCCAGCACCTCAACCACCACACCACTTGCTGGCCCCTAAACTCATACTTTAATTTCCTTTTTTTCCTACGAACGTTTTGAAGCCCCTTGTAGAGGGAGACAGGGATTCTCATGTAGCCGTGTACCCTGAGGCACAGACACACAGACCCCAGAGTCCCCTCCTATCAGAACCACAGCCGGCAGGACCCGCAGCCCCAGGGACGCGCCCTGTGCTGGGAACATCTGCCGCAGAGACACGTGGGAGTCCCAGCAGTCAGTCTCCGGAGCATAACCCTGCACACTCAAACCCATTGTCACCAGAACACACACCCAAGAGGGTAGTGACACTGGCCAAGATACACTGAACCAAGCCAGGTGACACTCGGCCAGAGCCTGAGAGAGCCCATATGCACCTGGAAAGGGCCATTCTTAGAAACACCCTCTCAGCATGACGGCCCACACAGCAACCCCGCACAGACACGGGACGGGACATGGCACGGCGACCCGGTGGCGGTGGGGGTGAGGGTGGGGCAGCCCCTCAGAGATACCAGACATGCAGAGACACTTGCAGACAGACTGTGGGGACCCTCACACCCTGAGTCAGAGCTCTATACTGGAAGTCTTTTTTTCATTTTTTAAGTTTATTTATTGATTTCTTCCATGATGAGCGACGTGGAGACCGCACCTCCGACAGCTTTTTCTTTTTTTTATTTAATTGCCAGAGGGTGCCCGGGCTTACCAGAGACAGAGAGAGGGGACAGCGCCCTCGGTGGGGCGTGGTCACAGCACAGTCCCTTCTCTAACCCGCACCCTGTCGGGATTTGGGGCATGCACTTACGTGTCCCGTGTGTTTTTCAGACCACAGGGGTGGGACTCAAACCACAGTCAGCCCTGTGGGATCCAGCTCCCTTAACCACTGAGCCATGGGGCTGGTCTCCCGAAAGACTTTTTATAAAAAAAGAATTATTTAATTTAATTTATTATTATTATTTAATTTCATGAGAGAGAAATGGAGTGAGAGAGCAAGTAAACAAGAGAGGGAAAGTGAGAAAGCAAGCTGCCAGGTCCAGAACTCGAACCACAGTCAGCCATGTGGGAGTCCATCCAGTACCTTAACCCCCACACCACCTGCTAGCGCCCCCCCAACAGATTTTTGGCCATGCCATCCACCCCCAGCCTCAGCCCTGGATCATGGACATGTGTTGCCCAGCACACTCAGCGAGGTCTCCAGAAGTGAACAGGAATCTTCCCATTTGGCTCAGCCCTGCAGAGTGTCATGTTTTCATTGCTGTGCCACAGACTGGCCCCTGAGACATAATCCCTTTTTTTTTTTAGAATTATTTATTTGGGACCAGCAGTTAGCGTAATGGCTATGTCACTGGACTCCCATGTAGTTGATTGCTCAGGCAAGATGGCAAATAGCCCTGGTGGTAGGAAACAGCATAAGCAAGCAGTCAGAGCTGTTACTTGGTTTTCAGTGAAAACAGTGAAGGAGCCTTCTCAAAAGCTTGACCAGTATGACTCCAGTTTTATAAGTTGGCGCTATCTTACTGTATGTGTGTTCATTTCCTCTAATAGTGACTCTTCCTTGGGGGATCCTGTCCTATTTACTTACTCATTGAGTCTAATTCCTGTCTCAATAAACACTCTTTTTTTTTCTTTTTTTTTTTTTGAGAGGTTTTTGCTGTAGGGTGTATGCGCTTGCCAGAAAGACAGAGAGTGAGAGACAGAAAGCAAGAAATCACACCCCAGGAGGGATGGCCATGCCACAGTTCCTTCTCCATTCTCCCCTCGGGATCTTGGGCATGCATGCACAAGCATCCGGCGTGAGTTTAAGCCACCGGGTCCAGGACTCAAACCACAGTCGACTACATGGGAGTCCAGCAACATAGGGATCACACCAATTTGCTGGTCCCTACATATCTGTTTTTTAAATAATTATTTTATTTAACTTCATGTATTTATTTATTTTAATTTGACCAGAGAGAGAGCGAGGAAAAGTGAGAAAGCAAGCCACCAGGTCTGGGACTCGAACTGTGGTCGGCCATGTGGGAGTCCAGTGCCCTTAACCACCAGGCCACCTGCCGACCCCATTTATTTCTTTATTGTAATTTGACCAGAGAGAGACAGCCAGGTGCAGGGATTGGGGTGTGAGAAAGCGAGTCGCCTGCTCCAGGACTCGAATCATGGTCAGCCACGTGGGAGTCCAGCATTTTAACCACCACACCACCTGCCAGCCCCAAGACATAATCTTACAGCACAGACACACACATTTGCAGGACATCCGAAGGAAAGCACACCCCTCTCAGGAATCTTAGACACCCACCGGGAACTACCTACTCGGAAGCTGTCACAAGAAGCCCCAAGAGGCCTGACCCTCTCAGCACATCGACACCCTTGAGTACACGAATGCACGCACACCCAGAGGGACGCTTTGTCATGCAGACATGGTTGAAGAGCATTTCTACATAGAGAAATTGTCCCTCCCGCACAGATTCCAAGAGAGCAGCTCAGGACGTTGCAGGAAGAGCATGTCCTCGAAACTCCCCAGGAACCCCGGTGTGGAGACTCTCACTTCACACATTTGCTCACTCACATTTCTGACTCACGATTGTTGAGGTTCCCTCCCTGCCAGGCACTCTCCTGGGTGTTGGCAATACAATGGTGGACACGACACAGCCCCTGCCCTAGGAGGCACACCCAGAGGAGGGTCAGCTCCACACACCCCACAAGAGAACTGGATGGGCACCCCTGAACCTCTAGCCCACAGCCACGCCAGCACCCGCCCTTTCTGCCACCTCCAGGGGTTGACCCCGCCACGGCGTGGAGCCTGCGGGACAAGTGGTGCCAGTAAAGGCACGCCACGGGGGCATGGGTGCCCCGACGCACAGGCACACCGTCAGGAGGACCCCCAGCGTGTCCAGGGTACAGAACACACGCAGCTGCAGGGAAGGCGCAGGCTTCAGAAGGCCTTCACGGCCAGCCCCAAGCACAGCCTCTGAGCGCAGGGAACGGCGAGCTGACCTCGCATGGCTGACCCAGTCAGAATCCCAGCCTTGGAGGCTTAAAAAACACTGGGCATGGGGCCAGCATGCGGCGTGGACTCCCACATGGCTGACCATAGTTCGGGTCCCAGACCTGGCGGCCTGAAAATCCAACTGGGCGCGTGTGTGTGTGTGTGTGTGTGTGTGTGTGTGTGTGTGTGTCCCAAATCCCAGGAGAATGGCAGAGATGGGATTATGGCAAGGCCATCTCCCCATGGGGGTGATTTCTCACTTGCCCTCTCACTGCGTCTCTCTGTCTCTCTCCGTTGAACAGAAACCTTCCCTATGGCAGAAACCTAAAACAAAAGAAAAGAAAAAAAAAAATATAGGCATATGTGTGTGCGTGCCCTGAATCCCAACAGGGTGGAGAAATGGAGAGGGGGGTGCAGCGTGACCACACCCGTTGGGGGTGTTTTCTCCCGCTCCCTCTGGAAATTGGAAAGAGAGGTCAGCCCTTCAGCAATGTGTATTGAGTAAGGCACCCCACAATCAGGAGCCTGGGGGGCACCCAGAATCACACCCCAGAGAAAGACCTAGCACTGGGGCAAGAGTCCCCCTCCTTAAGTCCCCCCAAAAGTCCCCCTCCTTAAGTCCCCCCAAAGGGAGCCACCGACACACCCACAGTCAACATCATCACAAAGACACTCACTTCAAGGTGGATGCCAGCAGAGACGGGGCCCACCCAGCACCCTAGGAATCCAGGTGCAGGTGGAAAGTGAACCGACAGGTACACACGCCCAGAAAAGACACACTGAGAACACTTGTCGCTCGGAAACACAATCCGCACTCCTGGGCGCACACAGACAGACATGCTGTCACCAAGCCAAGGCTCAGGGTACGCGTGCTGCACCACGTGGTGGACATCTGTCCCGAGAGACACAGTGAACTTTCATCCCACAGACACACGGACAGACTCGGCCTGAGGTTTGGTTTTTTTTTTTTTTTTTCTTTTTTTTTGGAGAGGTTTTCCCTATAGGGCGCGTGCACTCACCAGAAAGACAGAGAGAGACAGACAGAAAGCGAGAAATCACCCCCAGGGGGGATGGCCACGCCACAGTCCTTTCTCCATTCTCCTCTTGGGATCTTGGGCACGCACGCACACGCGCCCGGTGTGAGTTTAAGCCACCGGGTCCGGAACTGCCAACTGCTGGTCCCTCAGAGAGATGGTTTTGACCTCAGCCCTGGCTGTAGTTATAGGAGTATATCTACCCCCCACCCGCCCCCCAAAGTCTATTCTACTTGTTTTTGTCATGCTGTTTGCAAGTCACTAACCAGACTTGACAGCCTACCAGGTGGCCAGCCCCTGTTTAAAAACACAGCTCTGCAAGAAACTTCCAGAAACGGAGGCCCTCGGGAAAGCCCAGTTTCCAGCTGCCCCTGTGTACGCCCCTGTGTGCGGATGTGTGGAGTGTGCGGGGTGTGCTGGGGCGGGGTTTGGGATCAGGTGAAGGTGGAGCGCCTGGCCCTGCATGCAGGGTGGGGGTGGGAGTGAGCGTGTGACATAGTGAGTCTGTCCCTGCTGTGGAGCCCAGACCCCCTTCCTTGCCTCCCTCCTCCTGAGCTCCTTCTAGGCTCCTCTCCCCACCCCACTCCTGCCTCCCTCGGACCCCTCATCCTCCATCCTCTCTGCTCAGTCACTGCAGGGGGCACTGGGGATCTGAGGACCAGGGAATTCTTGTTTCCCATTTTGCGCTCTGGGAATGTGTGGCCCACAGAGGAGGCCATGGGGCCACCCGGACCAAGCACCGGACTGAGTGTTCCTCACGCAGGAGGGAGGGATTCTCGGGAGACCGCTTGCCCTGCAGAGAGCTTTGGGATCAGGCAGACTCGGGTGGGCCTGGGCCTAGCAGGTGCCAGATGGCCAGGTGTGGAGTCTCACATTTCAGCTAGCCCGCTTTCAGCCAGCCGGTCCCTAGGTGGTGGTGAGTTCCCTGTTGCTCCATCTGATTTTTTTTTTTTTTAATCCCTAAGAGAAATCTGGAGTTTCAGATGAAAAAGGCTAATTTTTTCGATGTTAGTTAGCAATTTTAATTTTGAAAATTTGAGAGTTTAAAAATTTCTTCCGTGAGTGAGACAGAGACCGAGAGACAGCTCCCTCACCTGTGTCTTCATTGCAGTCCACCCCCAGCTTCAGCCAGCCCGAGACTCTGGGCACACACGAGCCCTGTGTACTAGAGACGTCTCTGGACACGAAGCCAGGACCTTCCCGTGTAGGTCAGCCTCACAGAGCGCCCGTTCTATGCTGTGCCCCCCGCCAGCCCCTAGTGATTTTAATTTTTGAAAACACTGCAGGGGCCCAGCAGGGGGCGCAGCGGTTGCTGGACTCCCACGTGGTTGACTGCAGTTCCAGTTCTAGACCGGGTGGCTTGAAAGTCCTGTTGGGTGTGTGTGCCTGTGTACCCAAGATCCCAGGAGGAAAATGGAAGGGAGGGGACTGTTGCGTGGCCACCCCCCGGGGGGGGATTTCTCACTTTCTGTCTCACTGTCTCCTTCTCTCTGGCAACTGCATCCACCCTATGTCCAAAACCTCTATTAAAAAAAAAAAAAAAACACAGAGAGAGAGAGGAACACTGCAGGTGTGAGGAGACACTTCGGAGCACCAGCAGTTCGCTACCCCTCCGCGCATGAGGTGCCTGGCCTGGGTGGACGGGTCAGTGGTCCCCACATTCTGCTGAGCCAGAGTCACTGTCCTGATTCCAGTCACCAGCCCTGTGTCTGTCCCCCCCCCCCGCCCCCGCAGATACATCCTGGTGACCTCGTGTCTCCCTGTCTCTCTCTCACCCCTCCTTCTCTCTCTCCTCAGACACTCCCCGGGCCTCGCCCCGAGACATGGGTCCGCTGGTGTGGGGGGCCGTGGGAGGGACACTGCTGGTGCTGCTGCTTCTGGCTGGGGGGTCCTTGGCCTTCATCCTGCTGAGGGTGAGGAGGAGAAGGAAGAGCCCTGGCGGAGGAGAAGGAGAAGGCGACGGGGGATCCTTCGATCCGAAAACTCAGGTGTATGGGAATGGGGGATCCATCTTCTGGACACCCACAGCCTCTGGGCCCCTGAGGCCGGATGGCAAGGATGAGCTGGAGGAGGAGAAGGAGGAGGAGGAAGAGGAGAAGGCAGAGAAAGGCCTCATGCTGCCGCCGCCCCTGGCCCTGGAGGACGACATGGAGTCCCAGCTGGACGGCTCCCTCATCTCTCGGAGGGCTGTTTACGTGTGACCTGGAGACAGACAGACAGAGACAGAGACAGAGACGGGGAGAGGGCTGAGCCCTCCCCCACGGCGGCATGGCCAGCCCAGGAGTTCAGACTGGTTGGACCTGTTTGCCTGGATGACACTGGAGTTGGAGCCACCTCCCACCTCCCCGGGACTGGGAGGGAGGTGGGAGCACACACTGGATTCCGTCTTCAGGGCCGCATGGGGAAGGGAGCCCCCACAGCCCCCGCAGCTCGGCAGTGGGAGTCAGAGAGGACCCCCCCAGAGACTTGTTTCTGGCTGCAGCCTGCCCCTGGCCCCATGACACTCAGGAGTTAATAAATGCCTTGGAGGAAAACGCTGGGGTGTCTTGTAATACATCGGACCCCCTCCTTGGGTCCTGGGGGAAGGGTGGGACAGGGACTCCTAGGTCCCAGGGCTTGGGAGGAAAGCTTAAGGGGAAGTCTGGTGGGGTCAGAGTGGGGAAGGCGGGCGCTCAGACCACGGGGTCCGTGACAGGCACACTGATGCCCAGGACCCCCAGGCTAGTGGGTGTAGGGATCGAGGCCAGGGTGTTTGGATTCCTGGGTGCAACCTCCAGGCTGGCCCATGGCCTGAGTCCTCTGGGAGAGTGAGCTGGGTACCTGGCCTTGGGCCCTTGGCGGGGGCATATGTGGGAGATGGCAGAGGTAGGGCCCCGGGGTCCTGGGACCTGAATTCCAGGGAGGGTGCAGGGCTGTGACCTGATCCTCTGGGGGAAGCTCCCCAGGCTGCCCAGGGAGGGAAGGGCTGCTCCCACCCATTCTAGGGGAAGAGGGGTGGGGCGAGGGTGTCAGGAAAGCCCCGTCTCCAACAGCAGCGGCCTAGAGTCGCTCCCCTTGCTCCAGACCTCAGCATCCGGGGATTTTCAGAGATTCAGAGCGGCAGGACACCCACCTCCTCCCCTCTCCCTACCTGGAAAACCCGAGGATAGTTTCCGGCAGGGGGAGGGGAGGGGAAGGGGCGGAGGGGCAGCCTCCAGCCTCTGTGGCCTCCTGGAAAACGTGTCTGGCCCCCAGGCTGTCGTGGGATCCCCGATGGACATGCCCGCGATGCCCTCGGTGCAGGGCTGAGCGGCCAGGAGGGGTCGAAAAGTTCAGTTCTCCATGGATTTCTATGGACCCTGTGTGGAGCCCTGTGCCAGGCGACGCTGGGGACACCGCCGTGACCTGGACTGACCCGGCCTGTCCTCCCGAGGCGTGCAGGCGACAGTGACGCCAGGAAGAGCAGTGTTTTGAGGATGACGGTGTGTGTGGATTGCACGACAGTCACTCCATCATCCCACCCTCCGAAGCCTCCAGAGGATGCCGGGCAGTGGACCGGGCAGCAGTGGACTCGGACAGGCCCGGGATGCGGGCAGACATGGCCCTCTGCCAGCTCCTGCTCCTCACCCGCATTGTGGGTTGGTGTAAGGTGACCCCTGTGGGCTTTTCCTCACTCACCTCTTCCTCTGCTTGCCTTTCCTCTGTCCTCTCCCCAACTACCCTGCTCGCCTACCCCTTGGCAGTGGGAGGGCAGAGGCCGGGGACCCTGTCCTTCGGGCTGGTGGTAGGTCCCCGTGGTAGGTCCTTGAGGCCCAGGCTGGGCCCTCCTTTCACACCTAGCAAACACCCACTGCGTGCCAGACCTGGGGCTCACAGGCTCGAGAGGAAACAGACACAACACAGGTACTCACTCCACCCCTGACTTCGTTAGGAAAGGCCGAGGCGAGAATGGAGACGGGGGTGCAGAGCGGGGGCCCAGGGCCAGGACTGTCTGTGCACCTCTTTCCTGTTACTGTGGAGGACACCTCCTCCCCCGCCTTCCCTCGCCATCTCCCCACTATCTGCCCTCCTCGCTGGGCCCCAGCCACTTGGTCCTGCTGTTCCTTAGAACACTCCAGGGCCCCCACTCAGGGCCCCTGCCGTGCACCCTCGTGTTCTCCTGCCCCTGCATCTGCTTCAGGTCTTTGCTCACGTGGCACCTCCCCGACTGTCTTTGGGGGGAGGGTGACTTCCTTATTGCCCCCCCTACTCTATTCTTTTTTTGGTTTGTTTTAAGTTTTAATGCCCACTGTTTTTGTGTGTGTGTGTGTGTGGTTTTTTTTTTTTTAAGTTTTACTTACTTAGTTTTTGCTATAAGACATGTGCACTTGCCAGAGGGAGACAGAGAGAAAGAGAAATCCCCCCTGGGGCGGGATGGTCACGCTGCAATCCCTTCTCCTCCATTCTCCTTTTGGGATTTGGGGCATGCATGCATGCGCCTGGTCTGGGACCTGAACCGTGGAGTCAGCCATGTGGGATCCACCCAGCTTAATCTCCACACCATCTGCTGGCCCTAAAGTTCATTTATTTCCGACATGAGTGAGTGAGACAGAGAGAGCCCCTAAGAGGGTCTCAATCCCACACCCAACTCCAGCCTTCAGCCTGTCCCAGACGCAGCACGAATCAAGCATAGCCATGCTCACTCGCGGAGCTCCGCGGGCTTGAACTCTGAGCCTCACCATGCGGATTGCCTCGCTGAGTAGTGTTTTACCACTCCGTCACCGTCTGCACCCCCTACTCTGTTCTCCATCGTGACCCCCACCTGGCGTCTTAGGTATTGCATGTGTGTTCAGGTCAGCCTCCCCAAGGGCAAGGGCGAGGTGTCATGCTTGGTCCCCCCTCTTTTTATTTTTGGAGAGGTTTTTGCTACAGAGCACATGCACTCACCAGAAAGACACAGAGAGACAGAGAGGTTTTTGCTGTAGGGCGCATGCGCTTGCCAGAAAGACAGAGAGAGACAGAAAGCAAGAAATCACCCCCCGGGGAGATAGCCACGCTGCAATCCCTTCTCCATTCTCCTCTCGGGATCTTGGGCATGCACGCACACGCGCCCGGCGTGAGTTTAAGCCACCAGGTCTGGGACTTGAACAGGTGGGCGGTGACTTGGGCAGCTGGACCAAGGAATCATGGCTTCCTCCGCTCGCGCTACCCCTCTCCTTGCAGAGACCCCCAACTCGGCAGGCGCCGGGGCCACAGGCGGCATCATCGGG